ATGCCCTAAGGGCCTTATCTCTGCAATCCGGATTGCCCTCCTAGGATCTAGGAGGGATGAGGTCATCATTGGGACCTGCCAGTCCCTACGGCTGCAGTCCCAATCTGGCGGCACATTTCCCCCCACTCATTCCTCCCCCTTTGTCTCACTCTCCCCCTTTTCTCTCTCCTCTTTCTCTCATTACTGTTGGGACAAGTGTCCAACAACTATTTCTTCTCTTTCTAGCTGTTGGACCTTTCCCAAGGTCTGATTTTGCAGCCGGCATATGGCCGTTACACCCCGGACTGCAGTAATGGCACCCCCAAGGTCCAAGGGGGCTCCTTTTTGTTGCCACCGCTTCCAGATCAAGGCTGCCTTGCTCCGATTTTTCTCCGGCCAGCCTTTTCTACACGTGGAGCCCTTGGAACTTCTCCTTCTTCGGCCTGGCTGGTCCGGGATAGCCTGAACTGCTGGCCGGCCCCTCTTGCCGCCGCTATTCCCTTCTTTGTTCCCCTCGATGCTCTCCGTCTGCGCTTGTCGTGACGACACTTAGTATCCGTCCGGCCACCCGGCCCGGACGGTGCCGTCCCTCTGGCATTTATTTTTACCGTTAGCATATTTTAATCTGGTTTCTCCTAGAACCTCCCAGGTTCTCCCCGTCTTTCCTGTGTCGCGCCTGCCTCTTCCGTTCCGGCGACAGTTTTTCCGGTGGCGTTCGACTCCTTGTTTTCTTATTATTTTCCTAGTCCATTCTCTTTTCCTGTTGCCGTCCCGGACGGCGGCCTGTTTCCCTTTTGGATCGTCCTGCGTCCCCACTTGCTCAGACGTCCCTAGTTCCGCCGACAGCTCCTGGCGCTGGTCCCGCAGGTACCTGTCCCGTCCCGTTGGTGGTTCCGCCGGCCCATACTCATCTACTTAGTCCCCCGCGGTCCTCGTTACTAGTCCCGTTGTAGTACCATACTTTTTGCCTGGTCCTACGTGGTCCCTGACACTTTGTCCCGTCGGCGCTACATCTTTTCTTGGTGCCCTGTGGCCCCCGGCACATTGCCCCGCTGGTGCCACATCTTTTCTTGGTTCCTCTGACGTCCTCCCTTCTTGCGGCGATCTCTGCTCCTCGTCCCTCTCGCGTCTTGCGCGCCGTTCCCTTCCGGGTGCCGGCTCTCCCTTATCCTGCAGCCTCCTTGGCCCCTTCACCGTCGTGTTGCATCCACGCCTTACGCCCTGTCTAGCTGCTTTCTCCTCATGCTGATACTAATTCCCCGGCGTCCCTCCTCTGTTCCCGGGGAAGGGGGTCGCCTTTGTCATTCTCTCTCCCACTCCCTTGCTGCCCCCCTGCCTAGACAGTTTTCTCTCTAGTGTGGTGGTCCTGACGACCCTGGGCAGCCTCCCACCTCCTACCGTCTATGCTCATGCTTCCGAACTTTCCAGCATTCCTGCCTCCGGTTTTCTCTGTCGTGCACAAATAGGCCATATGCAGTCTCTCGAGTGACAGGAAATCATTCGGGACTCACCAGTCCCGACATATTCCCCCCACTCATTCGCGATGTCCTCATCGCGCACCAATCCATGGTCAGTAGGGATTTTGGAGTGATAGACAGACAAGGAAGGGGAGTGGGGTGGGATGAGTAGTTAGCTTGCCAGGGTTCCTCTTGTCTTTCTTACTCTTTTCTCGGGTCCTTCTTTAGGTTTCTGCCCCTTGGGCGGGGGAGGGTGTGGAGGGGTCAAGGTTTTTGTTTTAGGTTTCCTCTGGGTTGCGTAACGTCCCCAAGCTCAATAATGTCTTTGTAACGAGCGCGTAACCCTCTCTGTGCATCAGCGTCCGTCTCACAGCTGTATCTCTTTCTCACCGGAACTCCCAAATACCCAAGAGCCTCCCCACAACTTCCCGTATCATTCCATAAGAGAGAGGACAACGCGCCCATCACCCTCCCCAGGGGCCGAGGTAAAGGGGGGATTTTGGCGACGGATTGTCACAAGGATCTTTTGCCATGGCTTCCTCCAGTTGCGAGCTAGCAACACGTCAAGGAGCTTAAGCAGTTTGATGTCTCTTTCCCTCATCAAGTTGACTAGCATCGCCCCTTGGAGGGGTCCGACCGCAAACATGTCCTGCAACTAGTTTTTTTTTCATTGTACGTTATTTCTCGCTCTCGACAATGTCTTGAAGGCTGCATTCGTAATCTCAAATCTATCTTCCCATTTCATCGAGAAAACATTCTTGAGCAGACATCCTTCCGGTTTCATTCCATTCACTACTCTTAGGACCTCCCCACATTTTCGGTGCAAGTTTTCTTCCCCCCCAGGCTCAGGCATGGCCAAATCCACATGCATTCCTCCCTGGCCGTTCTTTCCGGCTTTTCTCAAGTCCTGCCAAGTCCGCATGCATATCACCTTGTTGTCCTTACTTGCCCTCTGCTCGATTATCTTTCCATATGCAATGCTCAACCCATTCCTTAGCTAGGCTCTTCTTTTCAAGCCAATCCCTCAGCCATTCCCCAATCTGCCAATTCCTTTCTCGGGCCCACGCAAAACCAGTCTCATCAATCCTTTCCCTCCAGATTGTTTTGCCAGGCTCTTTTTCTCAGGTCCATACCATGTCACTCTTGCCAGGCCCCCTTTTCTCAGGTCCATGCAAAGCCAATTACAATCTTTTTCTGTTCCGGCCATCTTGACAGGCCCCCTTTTTCCTAAGCCCATGCAAACCCAATTACAAGTCTTTTTTCCATGCGTATTGATTGGCAGATGGCACACCTTCCCCCCACTCAAAACGCGATGTCCCCATCGCGCGACTGGTCCTCACTCGGAGGTACGAGACCTTTGGCCCACCAACCGTACTCAAGGACACAAGCCCATCCGCTTTACAAAAGGAAGAGTGATCAGTTCCTCCCCAGCAGACGACGCCTCATCCTCCTACTGGGTCCGACCTTTCTTCTCCTATGTGGCGAGCACCGATACCGAGGTTCCTCCCCATGTCTGGCAGGCAGGTCCAATCCAAACCTCCCAGGGCCTCGTCTAGCCGTAAGAGCGTTCCTCGCGAATCGTTCCTCCCGAGTGGTGATTTTCTGGATTTCGGCCTCTTCCTTTCAAGAGAGTTGGGGCTCTCGATTAGTCCGCGAGTGCAGTTACGAAGACCTCGCAATTAGTCCCGAAGCAGTTGTAATGCTCCGGCAGAGCAGTGTCAATGCCCTGTGGTGGTGGCGGACTCCACCCGGTACCTCGCCCGGCCTCTCCCCTTGGACAGTGCTGCCCAACTTAGCGCGGGCAGCCGTGGTCCGACCCAAACGGCCATGCCACCCCTCTATGACATGGCGTGTGGTTAGATAGTGGCAGAATAGACTAGATGAGAATGACTTTCCTGCCCATTTGGCTCTCTCGCCCTTTGACGTTTAGGCGTTCAATAGGAGGCGCAGTTGGAACTCCCCGACTAGAGCTCATTGTCGGAGGTGGTTCCGGACGTCCCGCACCGATCCAAATGGTAGGTGCCTTAGTCCGTTAACCCTCGTCCTCTTAAAGGAGGAGCAGGTCGCGCTGAGACTTTTTCCCTCAGAGGGACAGAGGTCTTGGGATCGCGATGCATGCATCGGTATCCCCCTCTTGCTGAGGCCAAAGACTAGAAGAAAGAGAAATTCTATTTCCAGCTCTTTCTAAGTCCATTTCAAGTTGCCTAGGGTCCCCCGTTTATGCAATGCAATTTCCAATACTCAATCCAATTCCAATGCTCCGTCTCATTCCCAAACTCAATCTCGTTGCCATGCTCACCCCAATTCCAAGGCTCAATCCAATTCCAATGCTCAATCCAATATCCCTTCCAAGGCTGAGTCCAATATCCTTTCCAAAACTCAGCTCTTCCAATTCCATGCCTCACAAGCAACCATGCAAGGGGACCCCAGTGCCAATTCCAAAGAATGACCCTTATCAGGGGCTATTCCGAACAACCTGGTTAGGGTCGTTCTTCCCAGTTCCAAGTCGAACAGCCTGGTTAGGGCCATTCTTATCCATTGCAATCGGACATCCTGGTTAGGACCATCCTCATCCCTTTCAATTGAACAGCCTGGTTAGGGCAATCCTTGTTCGTTGCAATGTTAGCGCCCGAGGGGGTGGGCCTCGAGGACACGGATCCTATCTCGTCTCGGGGGTTAGAGGGCGGCCATCGTCTTGGGTTTTTACGCATGCTTCTTCCTTTTCCTCATGCCTTTTGTCATTCTTACATCCATCCATACATCCGACTTAGCGTCTAGTACTCAAGTTGAGGGTCGCGGCCCCAAGCAGCACTAGCCCGCCCGACCGTTCAACCATTACAAGGGCTGTTGAACCATTTCGATGTTTCCCTGCCACTTTTCTGACTTCTCTTGTGCTTCTTAGTATTCTGGCATTGGCTGAGGTAGGTTGGATTAGGCTCCTAGGGGAGAGGGTGCCTCTCTACCCATAGGTTCCCTAACCTCTCACAAGGACTCATGCAACGACTCATTCCATCATGAATACACAATTCAAAGGAAAGGCTTTCGCCGCGAATGTTTCTTCCAGCGTTCAAGAGTTCACCTGCCCCTGCCCATTTCCTCGAGACAAAATCAATCAAAGTCAGTCCCTTTCTTACTACCAAAAAAAAAACTCACGTTTCCCAAGTAGCCCGAGTACTCTTACAGAATAACCCTGGTCACCCATCCTCTACTAGTTCCTTCAATCCAAAAAGTAGTTTCATTGCAGTCCTTACAAAAAAAAACAAAGAGACAGAGTTCGTATGCAAAGACAACATTACAGACTCGTCTCATCTAGATCCCCGCTGCTTCCCCTTTTTCTTCCTCCTTAATCTACCCAGCCATCCAGAGTTCTATTCTAATTGCAAAAAAACTCATGCCTTTCCCTAAAGAAGCAACCACTTGTTCAAAGTAGCACTGAGTATTCAGTCCTTAGTCATTTCGAGCTTAGAAGGTCTATTCAGAAAGGAGTTCAAGTGCGGCATTCCAAATGGCAGCTTCGACTACCCAGGCACCAACCCCTCCCGACTCCTAGCTATTCCTCATTACGTCTGCTCTGGCTCTATCGTCCGGGTGGCCTGCGTTGAGCCTCCTCCTTGCGCGATCCTCCGATTCCTGCTCCATTAGTCTCTTTATTGCCTGGAATTGAAGGAGCGTTCCTTCTGAGAAGAAGGTTGTTGGGGATAAGTCTTGTCCCCTGCTCAGCTTTTTCGTTGCCTTCGTTATCCATTGATATCGCAGGATAGCGCCCCATTGATCAAACCAATCGCTGAACTCCGCCCCGAACTCCTCTATCCACTTATCCTTCTTCTCACCCGGTTCCTCCCCTCTTCCCCGTTCTTCCCTTGTGGGCGTTGTCACTTCATCTTCGTCCTCATCGCTGGTGAGGTCGATGAACTCCACTGGGTCATTTTCTCCCGACCGTTGTCCCTCCTCTAGGTTCCCCTGTTCCTCGCTGCTAGTGTCGCTTTCAGAGGGGAGGACTATCGGCTCCCCTTCCCTTGGTGGTGATGGCCCCCTGGTCCCCTGCTTTTTCCCTCCTCTGTTTACCACTAGATTGTGATCAAACCCCACGTACAACTTCCTCTTCCTGGAGCTTGATTCCCCGGCCTGCCTAGATGGCTGTCCCTCCGTAGGCCTGTTGATAGCGTTGTCGTCATTTTCATTTCCAAACTCCATTCTGATGTTTACGGCTCCTTCCTTGCCTCGTCCTGTTCATACATAACAGTCACGGTACCCCTCATACACAAGCATTCCCTTCCATTCCCATTTGCAGCTTTGGAGGCTCCCCTAAAACTCTCGCTTGCCCCCATATAGTTGGTAGTCCCATTATCCCTTAGAACCCTCGACACATTGTCCCAACACATAGGTGCCCCATGTAGGCAATCCACAGCCTCCCCCCCAACAAAAACTATGGTACATTGTCCCAGCACATAAATACCTCGTGTAGACAGTCCCCAGCGTTACCCCACAAAAACTATAATACATTGTCCCGTGCTCCCAAGCCCAGTCACAGTCAGCCCAGGCAGTCTCCCCACGTTCCACAAACGTCAAGACACACAAAACGAACAATCCCTATGGCCATGATCACTTCCACAGGGAGGCGGTCCAGAACTTATAGCCAACTGTCCGCCTTTCAGGCTGTCAATTCCCCAGTTTCCCTGTCCTGGGCTTCTTGTAGCCACTGTTCCACCGGATCCCTGCTCAAAAATCTGACCAGTCTCTGTCCCGGAAATGGCCCTCTTATGCTAGTACCATCGAGATCCTCAAGTTCAAATGTGTTTAGTCCGACCCGCTTAGAGATCCTGTAAGGCCCTTTGAATCTTTTTCCCAGCTGCCCAGACCATGTGCTTTCGAGAGTTGAGTTCCTAATTAGCACCTTTTCCCCTACTTGGAGCGGCTCCTTCCGGATATTCTTCACCTGGTCCCACCTTGCTTTGTCCTTCATTCGACTATCCGTTACATGGTTAACTATTTCCTCCAATGCCTCCTCATTCCTGGCGACCTGTTGGCAACGTGCGGCGATTAACTCCTCCGTGGTCAAGTGTGGTTCGTCATCTAGCCTGTTCCAGGTGGGGGCCAAAGCTTCTATCGAAAAATCGATCTCCCTTCCATACCAGAGTTCTGCTGGAATACATCCCGTTGTTCTTTTTGGAGTCATGTTTTCGGCGAAGACTGCCTGCTTGAGAAACCGTGGCCAACTTTCCAAATTATCTGCTGCCAACTTTGCGATTGTGTTCTTCAAAGTCCGGTGACCCCTTTCTACCGGTGCATTCGCCTCAGGATGGTAGGGTCCGATGATCTTGATCGGTACACAGTGTCTTGAGCCTGTTCAACACCTCCTGGTTAACGAATTTTGTCCCATTGTCTGCTATAAACCTGCGCACGAAGGGGTGCCTTAGGTAGAAATCTTCCACCCAATCGGCCAATGCCTTGCCTGTCTTCCTCTTGAGGGCTACGGCTTCTACACAGCCACTAAGATTATCCCTTGCATCCAAGATGTATCTAAACCCATCCGTCGATACGGGCATAACGGCAAGATCGAGGTGAACAAGGTGTCCGGGTCCCAGTACCCGGGTGGGTCTACGGGGCTCGTAAACCCGTACAGAGCTCCTCTCTTGACATATCAGGCACGTCTGACAGTACGTTGCGACCATGCCTGCCATTCCTGGCCAGAAATACAGGGGCACAATCTTTGCAAGTGTCCCCTTTGACGACTGGTGAGCCCCAACTAGCCCATCATGCATTGCCTTAATTATGTCCAGCTGTCTAGACCTCCCACAAACGACGCGTCTAGGCACCATCCCTTCCTCTTTCTTGAACAGGTGGCCATTCCTTAGGACGTACTTTTCTACTTCCTCCCTTGCCTTGGGACTGACTTCCGTGGGTTGTTTGTTCCCTACAAGCAGCAAACCGATTTCTTTGAAAACGCCCTCATACATTTGTATGAGAAAGAATTCCTGTTCGTTCTGATCCGCACCCTGCTCCTCCCGAGTGAAGTTGACTAAGTACTAACACTCCTTCCGTGCCGAGACTTCGACCAACGTCATCACGGCATCCCGTCCCCCTTCCACGGTCATTGCCATCAGTTCCTCTCTGGCCCCTACTTCTGCTCCCCACGAGTCCTTTTCCTCTTTGCGCCTGACCGTGGTGACTGGTCCTTCCCTGAGTTCTGCAACTACTGGAGGCGCGCCTTTTTCCAAGGTCTGAATCAGCAACTGACCTGTTGTAATTGCTGGATCTGCCATCTCGTTATCCACCACAAGGGTCCCTTCTTCATACTCCAGGAAAGCGTCGATTGGTTCCGCGTCCTCTACTCCTTCGGGCGTGATGCATACCCTGCTCAGCCCACCTGCCCTATTTCGAAGCCCTGCAATCCGCTCGACCTTATAGTCGAATTGCCATATGAAGCCTATCCACCTGCCAACGGTCGGGTCTATGGGCTTGTAGTTCTTTAGGGCCCCGACAGCGTTAGTGGCATCAATCCTTAGGATAAATCGCCTCCCGAACAGGTAGGCCTGGAAGGTCTTAAGACAATGCAAGATTGCTAAGACCTCCTTCTTGAACTGCGAATACCGTCGCTCTGCTGAATTCAGGGTCCTACTTTCAAGTCTGATTGGCCTTTCTTTGCACTCCTCGCTTCTCTGTATCAATACTCCTCCCACTGCCAATGGTCCCCCGTCTGTTTCTAAGATGAAGGGCCTTCCAACCTCGTCATTGAAACAGGGTGCTGCTAACGTGACCTGATCGGATGACAAGATGTCTTTCAGGGTCTGGGCTGCCTCTTCCCTATCCTCGGTCCAATCCATAGTGCCACCTTCCCTAATCATCGCGCGGATGGGTTCTGCTATCTTCGCGAAACCTTTGATGAAGATCCTCTAGAATCCAACCACCCCTAGGAAGGCTCGTACTTCCGTCGTGGTACGCAGGAGTGTCGGCCACTGAGAGATCTTATCACTCTTTGCTGGGTCGGGTCTCCTCCCATAAGCTCCACAGCGAAATCCCAGTATGGTTACTTCCGGGACCGCCAGGATGCTCTTGGGTCCACTTGCAGTAATGTTGTAGACTAGGAATCGCTGGAGTAAGTCCTTAATATCCTGCAAGTGATCCCAGACGAACTTCCGCACTCCCGGTTGTACTTTCGTCTCATCCTTGTATCTTGCACCTTTCACGGGGTTATCATCTATGTAAGGTTCACACTTTTCCGGAAACATATCCCCTATAGGCGAGCATCCTCCTCTGAGTTTCTGCTACTGCATTTGTGAAGCCCATAGGGGTCACTTGCATCTGCAGTTGTCCTACGGGGGTGTGCATTGCGGTATACGGCCTATCACTCGCGTCGAGCGGCAACTGATCGTATCCTGAGTACAAGTCTACCAGGGAGTAAATGCTCCGCCCTGCATGAGATTCTGCCAATAAGTCGTTCTGTGGAAGCGAGCCTGCGTCCCTAATTGTTACCGCATTGAGCTTCTGCAGGTCCTGGATCCACCTGAGTGTCTTATTGGGCTTCTTGAATACGAACCACTTGTGCGAGTAGGGGGATGCGGTGGGTTCGGCTACGAAAGAATCTATTTTGGCTCTAAGCAGGTTGATGACCTCTGCCGCTATCCCAAATTCATAGGCGGGCCCTTTATCATTCCAACACTCGTGCTGTACGGTGTGGATCCTGACAGGGGGAACTAGCTTTGCGTCCAATTGTCCTTTCTGATGATCGTTGAAGACGAAGGCTAAATGAAACTCCTGACATGCTTTTCTTATCAATTGAGTTTCTTCCGTTGTTAGAAACCCTTCCACTCCTATTTTCATGGTATCTGCTACCTCATCTGGTATGCGATGCCCTTCCGTTGCTCGCCTCTCCCTTATTACCCGCAGGATTTCCTCCTCCTTCTCCATGGCCTCTTCCTTTGACGTTTCTACTAGGATCGAGACCAGCTTGGCCTCTTGCCTACGGGTTTATACTTTCGCACACTACCTTCGGGGATCGTTCTCCTAAAAAATGAACGGTCGGGATCGGCCTTGCTGCCTCCAAGACGCGGGGCTGGATGCTGACTAGCTTCCCATTCAGACAGTAGCCCTTTCGAACCCCCTCCTCAAATCTGGCAAGCGCTGCGAGGTCCACCCCCACTTTGTGGTACCTGATGGCCTTAACGAGTTGTAATAAGTCTGGGATTTCAAGCGCTACCTCCGACGTTTCGTTCCAGCCTTCCTTTGGCTTGGGCAGGCTGGCCCCAAGTTCGACTTCCGACTCTTTTTCTGCCACCATAACTTCCAAGGACTCTTCCCCTGGCCTCCTCTTCTTTACGGGCAAGCTCATCTTGATCCATTCCTTTTTACTAAAAGCCTCCTCAATCATAATTTCTACCCTTTCCCTCATACCTTCCATTCGTGCGAATGCCCCTTTCCGTGCGCTTTCTTCGAATGTTGGCGACCAGGTTGCCAATTTACCCTTCGGAGGGTCCCCTCCAGTTCCGAGGAGTCGGAGGAGTTCCCCGCGACCAGTCACCGGATCCTCTATATCTACCATGTACGTGTCGTCGTGCAAGTGCATGCCAATCATCTCTACATTGGCACACCATGGTCTCCCAAGGATTATGTCATGGTCCATTTCTTCCATGACGGTCATCCGTTGGAAAGACCAGATGGATTCCCGGACTCCTGCCCTGACCGCGCATTTGGTGACGTACCCAGTGAAGGGGATTTCACCACCGGCTCCCCTGATACTCCCTGCTACTTCCTTATTTACTGTGCACCCGATGATTGTTGCGAAATCCCGTCGTATGAGGGTAATTTCCGCGCCGCCATCCACTAATGCATCGGTGTGGTGAGTTCCGATCTGGATTTTAAGCTTTCCTACGAGTAGTGCGTGAAAGCTAAGTTTAGTGCCAGGCGCTGCTCTCATGACTTCACCACCTTCTCGGTCCGGCAGGTTCAGACGAATGTCAGCAAAGGCTTTTTCCAGATCTTCCAGGCCCCCTGGGATGCTTTGAAGGTTGGAGACTCCTTGCGGCGCCTTGGCCTCTTCCGTGTCCTGCTCTTGCAGTTCCGGGGCCTCCTCTACCTCTACGTGCTTACGCGTAAGCAGCCTCGGGCTGGCATGCAGCATAGTCTGAAAAGACACCGATACCATGGTACCCAGTAGCTTCCTCAAGGTGCCATCGATTTCCGGCGAAGTCAGGATCGGAATTTGATACCTGAACTTCTTTTTTGCCGCCGTAGCCTTGTCTACCGGTTCCTCCTCCCTCGGCTTCCCATAGACCTTCTCTTGATCCCTGGCTTCGGTCTCTTGCTGGCCCGTTGTCGGAAGACGGTGCGGCGCAGCAGCGGAAAATGACTCGTCGCGGTCAACCCCGCGCTGCGTCTAAATCGCGCCTAGGAATGTCCACAGTCATGGTCAAACTGGACCCGAGCGCGTCGGTTAGATTTCCCCTGAGCCGAGATCAAGGGAAAGACGGCGCGGCAGTACGGTCCTCCGGAGACCTGATCGTCCCCGTTGGACTAGACCGTCGCGACCGCAATGGGCCAATTCATGGAGTCCAGTCCAAACGGCACTCGAAACGGACCAAGGGTTAGTGAGATAATGCACTTTGAACGGTTGGGACCAGACCGACACGGCCACATAACTTGGCCAGAAAAGGAATAGCCCTAAGAAGCCATATAGATGAACAGCCAGGCACGAGTAATTAAAATAGGGTCATGTGCTATTTTTAGCACGGGACTGACTGTTCGTCTCCCAAAGTCGGGCCTGCACCAGTCCCGTTCTAAAATTAGCACAGTCCCACGCTATTTTTAGCGCGGGACTGACTGTTCGTCTACCGGAGACTGGGCCTGCGCCAGTCCCGTTCTAAAATTAGCACAGCCCCGTGCTATTTTTAGCACGGGACTGACTTTTTGTCTATCGAGGACTGGGACTGCGCCAGTGCCATTCTAAAATTAGCACAGCCCCACACTATTTTTAGCGTGGGACTGACTATTCGTCTGCCGGGACCGACTGTTCATATCTCGAAGTCGGGACAACTGCTATTTTTAGCACAGGCCTGGTCTAGAGCTGGACCACAGCCCCGACCATGGGACTGCAGCACTCAGCCCTGATCACCTGGCCTCTCCATTATAAAAGAGAGGCCACGTCACCCAAAAGGACAGATCACACGGATCACAGATCAGTGTGCGAGAGCGGCATACGTGACACACGTGGCATGGATCAGACTGTGAGAGAACCCTCACTTGCGGGAGCACTACAACCTCGGCAGAACGGCAAGGAGAAAAAGGCATTGGTCAAAGAACGGCGACGTGCAAGCGGGAGCATGAGGGGAGCGTGGAGCAAGAGGCAAGAGTCGAGCAGGAGGCAAGCAAAGGAAGGGGTAAGGAAAGGGAGGGGCAAGACTGGCCCCTCACTTTCCCTTTCTTCCCCCTTCTCTTATCTCTTCTCTTCTTCCTCTCTCTCTCCCTCTTCTTTCCAATCGTCTCCTTGGGTTGTGTGTATGCCGCATCTGATCTGTGCGCACCTTGCCTGAACTCTGTATCTGATTGGTCATAAACTCTGCGCTCACACGCTGTATCTGAGGGTCGTGACCAAACTGTGTGTTTGCGCACACTTGAGAGTTGAAACCACGCTGTATTTAAGGGCAATTTTTTACTGTGAACAGAACCGATTTTGAGACTGCCAGCGCAGTCACTCGGAGAACAGAGCCTGCCAGCGCAGTCACCTCGAGAATAGGGCCGATTTTGAGACTGCCAGCACAGTCACCTCGAGAACAGTGCCGATTTTGAGACTGCCATCGCAGTCACCTCGAGAACAGAGCCGATTTCGAGACTGCCACTCTGAGAACAGAGCCGATTTTTGAGGCTGCTCGTACAGCCATACTGAACACCGAGCCGATTTTAAGACTGTATGCGCAGCCACATCGATTTTGAGAATGTTTGCGAAGTCCAACCAAACATCTTGACCAATTTTTAAGTCTGGCCATTCGCTGCTTGCGCACCACACTTGCTCACTATGCTTGAGGGTTGTATCTGAACTATGTGCTCGGCGCACCATGTCTGAGGGTTGACTCTGAACTCATGAGTACTGAAARMTGTGCGCCCATGCGCACCCTGCTGATGAGCCTTACGYATCTGTGTGCCAGAGCACATTTCGMTGTCATCCTACCCGAGTTCTATTTGGATTATTTGCGGTATGCCACTATTTGGCCGATCACACATCAACGGGTGCAGYGRCACTTGGCCCTAAGTTAAGATCATTCGCGTTGTGCCGCTGCCCGRGGTTCTACCTCGATTACKTGTTTATGCCGGTGYGATCAACCACCACTTGGCTGGTCTGCGCAGCTCGATAAGATTATGCTCAGCCACTTCGCAAGTCAGCGCAGGTAACCGCTGAGCACGGTAAGGGTTTATTCTTTTAATATATTATTCCTTAATCAGCCTTTTGACTTGGCTAATTACAGCAGTGCTATGGCCCTAAGTGAAGGCCGAGAGCGGCACACCGCTACTGTTCTCACTAGCAATTATTCGTTAATCAGCCCTTGATTGGCTGTTCGCGGCAGTACTCTGACCCTAAGTGAAGGCCGAGAGCGGCACACTGCTGCTGTTCTCACTAACAATTATTCGTTAATGAGCCCTTGATTGGCTGTTCGCGGCAGTACTCTGGCCCTAAGTGAAGGCCAAGAGTGGCACACCGCTGTTGTTCTCACTAGCAATTATTCGTTAATCAGCCCTTGATTGGCTGATCGCAGCAGTGTTCTGGCCCTAAGTGAAGGCCGAGAGCGGCACACCGCTGCCGTTCTCACTAGCGTCTATTCTTTAATCAGCCTTTTGACTTGGCTGACCGCAGCGGTGCTCTGGCCCTAAGTGAAGGCCGAGAGCGGCACACCGCTGCCATTCTCACTAGCGT